TTGTGTTTCTAGGTGTATCAACACCATACAGCGTCTGTGCTGCACGCCTGGTGACCCTTCGAGACCAAAATCAAAGAGCCTTGAAGTGGTTGCGCACGGTCCTGGTTGACAAACGTCTGTTGGGCACTCAAGGGCTGCTTCAAACGAGCGCTCGTGGTTCACGCCTCAGGTAGTTCGAGTGGTTACTTTGGTTACCCTGCCTTGGTCGATCTCATTATGCTGTTGTTGATGGTGCTTGGATCAATGGTGTTATTGTTGTCATTATGTCAATGCTGTTGTCATTGTGCTAGTGTTGATGGTGCTTGGATCAATGTTGTTATTGTTGTCGTCATGTCACTGCTGTTGTTGATGGTGCTTGGATCATTGTTGTTATTGTTGTCATTATGCTGTTGTTGATGGTGCTTGGATCAATGTTGTTATTGTTGTCATTATGTTGTTGTTGATGGTGCTTGGATCAATGTTGTTATTGTTGTCATTATGCTGCTGTTGATGATGCTGCTTGATCAATGTTGTTATTGTTGTCATTATGTCACTGCTGTTGATGGTGCTTGGATCAATGTTGTTATTGTTGTCATTATGTCACTGCTTGTTGATGGTGCTTGGATCACTGTTGTTATTGTTGTCATTATTATGTCACTGATGCTATTGATGCTTGGATCACTGTTTGTTGATGGTGGTTTGATCATTGTTGTTATTGTTGTCATTATGCCACTGCTGTTGGATGGTGCTTGGATCAATGTTGTTATTGTTGTCATTATGCTGTTGTTAATGGTGCTTCGATCAATGTTGCTGTCATTTTGGTCATTTTTGATGATTGTATTAGTGTTGTTGTGACTTTGGTCACAGTTGTTACTGTTCTTGTCATTTGGGTCATTCATGAAGAGTTAGTGTTACTGTCATTGATATTTGGGTCACTGATGTTGGCACAGGCAGATATCTTTTGTGAGACTCTTTGTAATGTCTCATTAGTAGCAGTCACTCAATGTTAGGGATCTCTGCAATTTTCCTAGCATTGTGAATGTTCTGACTTGTGCAATCACTCTCTCAACATATATGAACAACTTATCTGTGACAGGTTCTGTCTCTTTTGTTTTGCATGTCTGGAGAGTGTTATTAAAGCTCTTTTTCTCGCCACCATCACCTTTGAGAGATTTTCGTTAACTCAAAGTAGTGTATCTTTTCGATGTTTTGGTGCTGCTGCGTGTTGACCCTCTCGCGACGGGGAATCTCAATGAACCTTCCTACTATGTTGACGTATAGTGAAGGACCATGGGGCCCCATGAGGTGAACCCGCACCAGTGTATTATCTTTTTCGATTGCCCTGAATATTCCTACTGATCTCCTTGTCAAAGTTCATATTTCCCCATAGCGTCTATTACTTGTTTATACACTGCTTTTTCCTTTAACATTTCCTCTCATATTTGTCACTCATAATTGTACACTTTCATATCTGCAGCTTTGACGCATAATTTTAGGGTGGTGGGGTAACCTAGTGGTTAAAGTGTTGGCTCGTCACGGCAAAGACCCTGGTGTCCCCCAGCCGTGATATTGCTGGACTATTGCTAAACGCGGCGTAAAACCATACACACTCATAACTGTATCCTTAGTCTTGTCCATTCTGATTTTCATGTAATATTGCTTGGATACGTCAAATTTATTTCTCTTTCACAGTGTCCAACTTTTCCAGCTTCGGTATGAAATCATGTAACATTTATATCACTTCCAAATGCTGCTTAGCTGAATGTTCGACTGGCCTAGTGAACACCCTTTGTAGACCCTATGCATAAATATTGAGACTGGCGAAAATTGTTGATATGGTTGGATTTGATTTGGTGATACATTGCAACTTGTACGCTGTACTAAATACATGTCTATATACGGATTACTATCAACTTGGTACCCTCAAAATGTGTTGGTATATCACCTTAATCAAACTGTTGATAGGTGTATTCAGGCAGTTTGTGCAGCAATGGTCCAAGTTTTCTTTGTGGTGTTCAGACTTCTTTCTGTTTACCTTTACATTCACGACTTGTCTGTAGTTCACTTCTGTGTGTTGGTCAGCAACCAGGAACTAGCAAACGCCTAGCGTTATAGCAGGGATATATTACACCAAGTGCATGGCTGCAGTTGTGAGAGCTGACTGTCTCAGGTAAGTTTGTCTGTGTGTATCTAATTTGTCAATAACTTCTGCCACAATTCTAAACAGCTCTCCTTTTGTCTGTTGGACATACGGGAGGTATATTTGTCTCTAGACAGTCTCTTTTCAGGTGTGTGTCGTGATTAGAGAATTGAATTATTTATCATTGAGTTATGGTTCCCTGTTACTGACTTCCCAAACTCCGGGACTTTCTGTGCCCAACGCCTCGGAAAAGCAAACAACAACACGGGAAAAAATCGCCTTTTTCAATGCATTTGAAGCATTTGCTACTGGTTGGGGTAATGGACAGTAATGCGATATCGTCACTGCATAAGAACTTTATCAACACAACCACACATACTGATTGCATTAGAGCTTGCTGATCATCAGAGCGCCCTGTGACTTTCTAGTTTTGCTATTTCCTACCATTTAGTTTGTAACAACGACACAACAAAGAAATGTTACATATTTACAACTATATATTTGAGAGATAACTTGGTTTCAAATTACAAATTATTCCAATTAAAATGATAACACAAAATGGTATAGTAATACAACTGCAATTGTAGTACAAGTGCCGTGGCTGTAGGGCAGGGCATTACAACTCACAGGAAACCTAAAATTCATCATTGTTTATAGCAATTTGAATTGCGTATGCTTCCGAGACATCGTCTCGATCATGTTCTACCCTCTGTGCAAATGAAGGAAGTAGCCCAACACTAAAATGCGGACCCTCTTGTTGAACATGTTGTAAAAGACCTTTTCGTGCTGCATTCCGTACGGCCATGGCGGGATGTTTCTCCAGAACTATCGTCCACAGATGTTTGGGATACATAGGAACGACATTCGCAACAACATCTCCCGGGCTGTTTTCAGTCATCTGGTTCTTCAATGTGCTATTGCTGTCACCTGTATGAACCCGTTAGAACTGGTCTTCAGCAACCCATGCTTGTCGTAAGAGGCGACAAATGGGATCGGGTGGTCAGGCTCGCTGACATGGTTGACACATGTCATCGTATCCCATGATCGATGATCATGCTGTTGATTACTGGATTGTCTGTTATTTACAGACCGGCGCCATATAGCTGGAATATTGCTGAGTGTGGCGTTAAACATGCAAATGGTGGTCACACTAAAAGGCGTTTTCCTTTGGATCTGTCTTCTGGTAACGTTAGATTCAGTAGCATAAGATTTACATTCCTTTCTACCATGACGACGTGAAATATTCAAATTTGCTTGAACAATCAATTTGGATTGAAAAATGCGTCTGATTTTATGACCGCTTCACTGCGCACGTATAATTCCGCTTGACAACAAACATGGCAGGTATCAACACAACAGGCGTGATTCAAATATTGAAAATAAAACATTTATTAAAACTTTGTCTCAAGAATACAATTAGATGTGAATACACAATGCCATTTAGAAAGTGGTCAAATGTAACATATGTAATATTTGGGATTACACTTAAAGTACAGATTCTAGTACTTTTGTTGGGTTGAGTCCCAACCGGGATTCGGACCCACACCCTCAGAGTCAGGCACCTCATCGTCAGCACACAAACTCAGTCGCCAATTTACACTTAGAGGGGTACACAAAGTCCGCAGTCTAAACTACCAGTTGTCCGCTTGCCATTTTTTGTGGGAGGCGCGCTGGCTGAGTGGGTTAGGCGGCTGACTTTGTGAGATATCAAGTACGTTTGAAGCATTTCTAAAAGAAGAACTGGCGTCACACCCTTATATGCGGAACTTTGCAAGATAAGGGTCAGGCGAAATCCCAAACTTATGCCACTGATACTCCCTCATGCACCTTTGCATTGTTCAAAAAATACCTCGAACTGAACCACTTGAATCCTGCGTTCAACCAGCTTCCCCACAAGACAGTCACTGCTTGAGATCCATGTTGGTACATAATAAAACCACTTGACCACAATTATCTTTCCCAATTATGAAAACAATTTCCAAGGAATCTAGGGCTGGGACGGGTCCAAATTTTCTACCCGGGTACTCCACCCCCTATTACCCTACCCTACCCGGATACCCGTAATGTTATTTCCTTACATCACATTTGTAAGAAAGGAGGCTAAAATTTCGAGTTTTATCATATCTTAATTATGTATTACATTCAAAAGAAGTGAGTGTAATTATGTCTAAATCTTCAAAGACAATACAGTCTATTAATCATGCAAGAATAATATGTAACATTGTTTAATCTATTGGTCACTATAACGGGTTCGCGTACTAGGACGGGTGCCCGGCTCCAACTCATTACCCACACGTCCCGGGTATCCGGGTTACCCGTCCCAGGCTTAAAGGAATGCCAAGGAATCCAATCGCATTTACACAAACCTTTGCGTTAGAGTCACCACTGTCAGTTCAATTCGTTCAATTCAAGACGAGTTCAATTCGCCTCTCGTGCCATGCCGAACCACGTAGTGTCATCTGCAGAACGAAGAAGGTGGATTTTAAAACGGTTATAATAAAATGGAGACAAACATACTGTGTATGTGTAGCTTGAGGCTTCCATTAATTGCTGTAGAGATTATCAATTTTGTCTAACATTAATCTGATTTTCAAACATATTACATCTTCCAATTATATGCAGCACAGTTCCATTGCCGTTAGCATATACTGACAGTCGACAATTACTATACGTCTCGTTTCAGCTAAACATTTTGCTACATTATTTAATGAGGGAGGATATCATTTTAAAACATTCGCATGGTTCCGTCTCTATCTAATAATCTGACATTGAATATAATTACTGTATGAACAATAATGTATTTCTGTTTTAAATAAATATTTGGCCAGTTAATGAATCAAGTGATCCATTTTGTCAACATGATCTCTATATTATCAAATAGCACCGGACATGGACCCAGTACAGAAAGAGGAAACAACGTCATTCATTAATGAGATCCCCAGTGAACACTCGAAACCAACATCAGGAGTAGAGAGGGAATGTAAACCCGACCGAGGCCACTGGGACCGGAAGCTGGACTTCATCTTGTCCCTCATTGGCTATTCAGTGGGCGTGTCTAATCTATGGCGGTTTCCCTATCTGTGCCTGCGCAATGGAGGAGGTAAATATCTTGCTGTTTGCCCTGCTGTGTCCACTTCTATATTTGTAAGTTATTGTCTGACATTACATGTTTCTACCTAAACTTAACGACGAATATTACATCAAACACACACATACCACAAAGTTTGATCCTTCTGGACCTTTCTGCCCTACACCATTAATTACATGAGGATATTAGATTCATATACAGTATTCATCTCGGACAAACATGATGACCTGATATCTAACTTACGTAAATTTGCATTTATTGTAGGGGCTTTCCTCGTTCCATATTTCTTTTTCCTGCTTGTCACTGGAATCCCGATGTTTTACTTGGAGGTGTGTTTGGGTCAGTTCTCGGGAACGAGTCCGCTGTTCGTCTGGAAACTATGCCCTCTCTTCAAAGGTTGGTGACCTTTGATGTCACAGGTGTTCATACGTTTTACAAATAATATGCATGTCTGCCTTTATTCCATATAAAATCAGACCGCCTCCGTGGTGTAGTGGTTAGAGCGTCCGCCCGGAGAGCGCAAGGTCGCGGGTTCGATCCCCGACTGCGTCATACCAAAAGATGTTAAAATATGGTACTTGTTGGTCCCTGCCTGGCGCTCGGCATTAATGGGTACAACAAGGACTGGTCGGCTCGGAGTCAGTATAATGTGTCTGAGTGGGGTATTCATGCTTCACTGCGGCATGGTATCTCAGTGGGCTAGCACTATAAAACCAGCTTAAGTCTGGACTAGTACAAGCAGCCGCACATACACATACACACGCATGCACGTCGTCATACGAGCGAAATATTCTCAAGCACGACGTTAAACCCAATTTCACCTCACCTCACCATATAAAATCACACTCGGGGAAGTATTACTTTTTTGCACAAAGAACAAAGTTATTGAGTCTGTCTTTCTGATACACAACCGTCATTAATACACATTTATTGATGACATTTTGAAGGGGATCAAATGTACAAATGTTATATTTGGGATTATACTTTCTCAGCAAACTAGAGATTCTAGTGCTTTGTTGAGTTGAGTCCCAACGGGGATTCGAACCCACACTTTCAGGGAGTACACAACGTCTGCACTACCAGTTGTTCGACTGCCATTTTTGTGGCTGAGTGGGCTAGACGGCTGGCTTTGTGTGCTGGCGATTAGGTGCATGATTCTAAGAGTGTGGGTTCAAATCCCGGGCGGGACTCAACCCAACAAAAGTACTAGAATCTGTACTTTACTGAGATAGAGTAACGACAAATTTCACATTTGTTGTTTCCGTTATTGGCCGATGTTTGTACAATACCCACTCTGCACCTGGCTCGCGAAACGTTTTTTACAACGGGATTACTGATGCTGTATTTGCTAAACCTGTACCTTCCAGGGATAGGGTAGGGGTCGTGTTTGTCTCTGGGATCACAAGCATCTACTACGTGGCCGTGCTATTTTGGGTCATGTTTTACTTCATCAACGCTTTCTATCCAACACTACCCTGGATGACGTGTGACAACTGGTGGAACACGGACACATGCATCGGCCCTGTCCATGGTAATGGCACTGGTTTGATCTCGACACTTCACGTCACAATCTCTGACATTAGTAATCATTCCGATAATGTAACTGTCTTTCTGAGGTCTTTCATCGGCAACCTATCTTCGAGAAATGTATCTAGGAATGGATTTGATGACAAAACGGCAACTGAGGAATTTTGGCAGTAAGTACCATATTAGCTAACTTTCCTGTGATGAGGGTGCACTTGCTAACATCTCTGTTGCAATCACGTTTTCAAGATATATTTAATGTTCTCTGTTTCTTGCGACAGCACATGACAACTTTGACTCAATTAGAGGTTTGAGGTGAAGACTGAAATACTATTACATTTTATGAAACAGTTCTGCCAACAAATAGTTATATATTAGGCATATTGCGTAAACATAGATTATCGGTAAGGAACCAAGATGAAAAAAATTAACAATTATTGCTATCTAATACTCCTCAAACTTTTAATATTTTGCAAAATATGCATTTCTTGGTAAGAAAATGGGACAGCTGTACTTTGACCAAATTGTTGTATCATGTTGAATATTGTCATATTTTATGGCGCTTGAATCACTTAGCAAAACTTTATGCACTTGTATAAGAGGCCTATGTGCCCCCCTTACAGAAATAAACGTATTCATTCAGTAAGGAATAATGAAGGTGAACAACATTAGAAAAGATATGCAATCAGATCCCACTGGTACGAGGAAAAAGACTATTGGCTTCCATTTGTAACCTTGACCTCATTTGTAACCTTGAACCTCATGTTCAGAACCCCGACTTGGCAGGATATTCAGATTATCCAAACATGGTACACTTTGTCTGATGTACATTTAAATAAACTACACACCACACTGCCAGTCATGGCAGTATACAAATTCAGATTTGATCCTCATGTACACATATTATGGGTACTACGTGCTTCGCAAGTCCAATGGTTTGGATGACGTGGGAACAATCCAACCTCATCTCGTAGGATGTCTCTTTGTGTGTTGGCTGATTATCTTCCTGTGTCTCATCAAGGGTATCAAGTCTCTCGGCAAGGTACTGTCATCTTCTGCGGTAAGGTAAGACAATCAGAAGCAATACTTCAGAAAGTACCTCAATGAAATGTAAATGCTGAAATGCCAAACCCGCAACAAGCTTATGGTCAAGTACCTGTTGCAGGTTGTGTATGTCACAGCACTTCTTCCGTACATCTTGCTGACGATTCTACTGATTCGAGGTCTGCTTCTACCAGGTGCTACGGATGGCATCAAGTTTTACATACACCCAGACTTTTCAAAGCTTGCCGATTACTCGGTAAGTCATATCGTTTGTAATATAATTTAGACACTTAAATTGGAAACCCGGGTGGGACTCAACCAAAACTTCTAGCACTATACTTTACTGAGAAAGTGGAATCTCAAGTATAACATGTTATATTTATGTTTTATTCGCGCAGAAATGGTTTTGAATAGATTACTAGATACGAATTGTTCGGCATTGTAGCTCAACTTGACTGTCAGCAAAGACGCCGACTTAAAAGGTGTCAGTTTCGCTGTTCAAGTGTGTGTTTTAATACAACACTGATCTCCTTGATTGACAATCATGTGTTATCATGAGAAGCACGTGTCCTTATTGATCTGTAAGTATTTAGAGATGAAAGGATCATTAGAGAGCAAAAGTACCTTATGAGAATTATCGAAAGAATGTCTGTAAATGGTATTTAGAAGTGATACACAAAACGATGAAAACTTGTCCTTTATCTATCAGTGCTTGATTACCTATAAGGCATATTCACTCCTCGATTAACTCCTAACCTCTATTTGGCATTTGCCAATCAGTTGTAATGGCTTTCACCCTTTCACCATATAACGGCTCTTTAAGTTTAAGCGAGAAAACGGTCAAAACGTGATCGACATGTAATATGCTGAAACACACGGAAACGTGCCTTTCAGAACAGAACAGAAATCCCAATTAATCTCGCTACTACCAAGCGGAACAAAAGTGACTTGTGTTTGGTTTATTAAAATTGTTATCCGTAAGTAGTCTCGTGACTTTGAATGATAAATAACACAACCTTGATCTGTCAAACATTCCAGTTGACTAGCAAGCTTACGGTTATTCATCAGAATATGAAAGGTATCATGAAACTGTGTTTGTATGTCTCATGACCCCGTGGACAACAAACATAAATATTACATAGTTACAGAGCGGCGTTACCAGTTACGCACATATGTGTCTTGTCCAGACTCAATTATTTACAGACGCCGTCATATAGCTGGACTATTGTTGAGAGCGACGTTAAACAATAAACAAACGAACCACACGTGTACAGGCATCTTGAACGTAATCGAATGGCATGTCAACTATCATACCATGCACACACATCATGTGCGGCATCTTTAACATCTCCCACAGGTGTGGATCGAGGCAGCTCTGCAAGTGTTCTTCTCCCTTGGTGCAACCTGGGGGTCAGTCATCACCATGGCCAGCTACAACAAATTCCACAACAACTGCTTCAGGTGATTCACAAGTTTACATTATCACATGATCTACTGCACAAACCTAATTGTACTTGATGGAATTACGTAAAGCATGTTATACCGATATCATTCATCAAATTCAACATAGTATCTTATGTTTATATACCAAATACAACAACAAAGATTTGGGTGAGTTAATGTTGTTTCACGCATCGACTTGAGACACGATGCAACGCAATATACTCACCGGTCAATATTCCACTTTAGTTCTACTTCCCCAAAATACATCACATCAATTTCCTTTCCATGAACATATATACAGTTGTGTAAATATGCTATAATTGTTTATAGCACTGAAATAAATAATATTATGTGTGTGATTATTTCTGTCCTTGTGAACATGAAGATGTTAAACAGATCCCAAAATAAATCTTCGTAGGGACTGCATCATAGTGAGCCTTGCTGATGGTCTGACCAGCTTCTACAGTGGCTTCGTCATCTTCTCCGTGGTTGGTTTTATGGCCAAAGAAGCCAACGTTAGCGTCGCTCAGGTGGCTACAGAAGGTCTGTAAATAACGCTGAGACATGAAGGAACAAACTGAAATATAATATATGAACGTTTAGGCAGATACCAAAGAAAATCTTCATATCACGAATTCATATGTGGCACATCTGCATAATCATTTTAGTGGTGGCAGTAGTGATAATGATATTTCTCTCACAGTGTGACCACCTATGGCAGGTTTTGCTGGAAACACGCTCATATGTGTCTGAACAGGAGATGCTCATTGTTGCTCTAGTCATGTCAAACAGGTATTCTGCTTATTATGTATGTGATGTTTTATTATTCATTTGTTCAGTCAATTCAATACACGTAGAAATCCATGCATATTCATGGTAAGCCAATATATTGTTGTAACATCATGTTATGGCCATGTCATCTGGCAAAAATAATATAATATCTGTATTAGGAAACACTCATTAGTCATGAAGAGGTAGCACTTTGCGAGACGAGAATAATTTCTCGTGGAAAAACTTCTGTTTTTGATACCATAACCCTTTCATGCCCTGGTTTAGCATTAGTGGCCTACCCAGAAGCTATCACCAAGATGCCCGTACCCCAACTGTGGGCCGTGCTCTTTTTCCTCATGCTCTTCTCATTAGGCCTGGACAGTCAGGTAAAGAGTATGTTAAACTGACGCCAAATTGTCAAACTTGTATCAATATGAAAACATCAAACATTCATACAACCTTAATGACTTCCCTTTTCATTGATATATTCTTACTTTGATGAAACGTTATTCAACTGTGCATTGTTCAAACAAAACATGTGTGACACAATAGTATATCCTACAAATCGTGTGGTCAGGCTTGCTGACTAGGATGACACATGTCGTTTGTATCACAAATGCGTAGATCGATGCTCATGATGTTGATAACTGGATTGTCTGGTCCAGGCTCGATTATTTACATATTATTTATATCGCCATATAGGCTGGAATATTGCTGAGTGCGCCGATATACAAAAAACAAAACAAACAAATCACCATAGTGCACCACTCTGCCATACTGCAAGCACCTTGGTAATTGTATAAAAGATAACAAAAGCAACAGAGCCATGTCAGGTATCATATTGCATCACATCTCCTCTGTTGTAACATTTTATCTTCTCTGTTGTATCAACTATCATACATAATAAAACTATCAATGAATGGAATGCCTTGCAGGTCTTCGCGAAAGGCGAGCCTATCAAACAACGCAAAGTCAATATATTGTTGTAATTTCAGTTTGGGATGTTTGAAAACCTTGTGGCGGGGATTATCGACGCCTTCCCAAACAAGTTGCAACGTTACAGGATGTTTGTAACTGGAGGGGTCTCCCTTCTCTACTTCCTCCTTGGCCTGCCATTAACGCTTAATGTATGATCAGATACGAAACATTACCAATAAACTTCTGAAATGATAAATGGATGTATATTTTTAACCCAAGGTTTAAAGTTTGGCATAACACCAATAATATTTTTCACAGCAATCAGAAATATGTGATGTATGTAAACTTAATTTTCATGACCCATAATGCGTAACCAATGCTCAGTAAAACACTGTTCAGTCATGCTTTTACAGTTAGTTGTCAGTACAAATCCCAGTGAGGATTTCAAATCCTCCCTTTTTTGCTCCATGCTGCATAAATAGTTTTCAACTACTTAACAATCGATGGCAAAACATTATAGGATTCCATGTCTGTGTGTGTGAGTCGAAATGCCCATTTTAAAAGTGAAACGGAGAACTGTAAATTGTATTTCTTTCATTACAACAATTGCCATATAGAGAGATTAGAGATTCGGCCCTGCTCTGACCTTCTTGCTTGCTTCTATATAAACTGTCATATTCTAATTTTGAAACTGTAGCATTGTTGATTGTGCTTATCATATATTGTCCTCTTGGTGTATGCTGATCTTTATATATTTTTCTATTTTAAACTATTCTAATATTCTCCCATGAATATTCTTCATATTTCCAGGGTGGTATCTACATTTTCCAGTTAATGGATTGGTTCACTTCCGCCTTTTGTTTGGTCATTACTAGTCTTCTCGAATCCGTCATCATAGGCTGGATATATGGTAAGAATACCCCTCTGTGAATCGATTTCAGCTGTTAAGAGTATATATTTTCTACGATGATACGTTACATATGTTTTGACGCCGCATCAAACCAATTAACAAATACAGAATGCGTATCTGTCTTAAATAGACGGGGTGATGAGGTAGTCTATTGGTACAAGCGTTCCCTCGTCACGCCAAGGACCCAGGTTCGATTCCCCATTTCAGGTGTCCCTTGCCATGTTATTGCTGGAATATTGCTAAAAGAGGCTCAAGAACTCACTCACTCACTCAGAAAGTCATTAATACTTAAATATAAACCTTGGTTCGAAGGATTTGCCTCATGCATGTTTTGTTGAAATGACAGATGCTTATGCACAGCAGACCATACCAACTCAAGAGAACATGCATGGCTGGATATGTGTGATCTATTGTTTCTGTTTCCCAGGGGTTCAACGATTTGGTCGTGACATAGAGCTGATGCTTGGAAGACAACCGGGCGTCATTATGCGTTTCTGCTGGTGTATCTCTAACCCTGTCATACTGCTGGTAAGACTGTCACGATGTTATTCCTGCTTTATCAAGGGAGGACATTTACTTCAGCTACTGATGTCCGTGTAATAATCCTGTTTTCTGATCCACAGATGGTATTTGTTGCGACTCTAACTAGTTACCAGATGCCGACATACGACGGGTACACGTACCCTGCTGCAGCCAGGGGGATAGGGTTCCTGTTCTCGATGCTACCAATCGTTCCAATACCTGTAATTATGGTATGGGAGCTCAGCAGGACCAAAGGGACATTATGGCAGGTCAGTTATATTAATGCTATAGCACTGAATGTGCCGCAGTCTCCCTATGGTAGTATTTGTGATCTAGATGCGTGTACACCATGCATTTGCAGGGTGAGAATGAATAGCACTACTTGATTAGATAGTTAGTTTGTCTCGACGCCTCATATAGTTTGGCACTGGCTAGGATTAAAACCTTGATACACAGTCCAGAACGTATGACTGTGAAACATTGGCCTTATGTCTGGTGAAAATATAAGAAGGGCTTTGTCATGATTGCATCACTCTTAATGTAATGCAACGTAATGTAAAGCACTTTGATCTCTGTGTTTTCAAATTTTAAGGAACTTATAATGATTATTGTGATGGATATCGGGGAATAAAATACGAATAATGAGATTAATGTTCGCCAGTTTTAATGCACATTTTCTTTAACAAACATATTATGGATTATTCTATAACCAACTGAATTTTGAAATTGTCAGTAGTTGTAATGAATACAAAATGATTGGAATATTAATATCAGTGAGTCTTTTACCAGCTTGAGTTTAGCTTTCCACACAGCAAGGCGACAATATTTCAATCACATGCACTGAAGCTTAGTAAGTGAGCGAGTTTATTATCCTGCTCTGAACATTATCTTATATCATGGGTAACATCTTAAAGTAGAGAGAAATTCGAAATATTTTCAGGACGTAATATCCCTGTGTATTTCATGCTCAAGGTACTGCGGTCATGCCAGGGTAGGTAAATGCTCAACGAATAACGAAAATAACAAAATAAGCCGTGGACGATATAAAGCACTAATTAATCTTTGCATTCTTTTTGTTACTTGCAGAGGTTCTGTCAGACACTACGACCTTCAAAGGATTGGAAACCTGCACTGACTGATTACCATGCCGATTACACTACAGACAATCACGAATTTGTGTTGCCATTGATGGCGATTATACCATGTAGGGAGACTAAATAGAATAATATCTGGGATCGAATTGCTTGACTTATATCCTCGTATCTCTGCAGTTTTACATCTGTATCTTTAGTTGTTCGTTAATGGGTGGACGTTAATTGGGCCATGTAGCCACTGTGTCGATTCAGCAAGGTGTATGACAGTCTGTTGTTACTTCAGAATAATACCATGCGTTAATATGCATGTATGTATACAAGGTGTATGACAGTCTGTTTGTTACTTCAGAATGACACCAGGCGTTAATATGCATGTGTGTATACAAGGTGTATGACAGCCTGTTGTTACTTCAGAATGATACCAGGCGTTAATATGCATGTATGTATACAAGGTGTATGACAGCCTGTTGGTACTTGAGAATGATACCAGGCGTTGATATGCATGTATGTATACAAGGTGTATGACAGCCTGTTGTTACTTCAGAATGATACCAGGCGTTAATATGCATGTATGTATACAAGGTGTATGACAGCCTGTTAGTACTTGAGAATGATACCAGGCGTTGATATGCATGTATGTATACAAGGTGTATGACAGCCTGCTATTACGTCAGAATGATACCAGGCGTTAGTATGCATGTATGTGTACAAGGTGTATGACAGCCTGTTGTTACTTCAGAATGCAGTATCTAGTTTGTAACGAAAACATTAAACAAGTAATTTCAACACTTACCCTTTACATTTTTTAAGTTTTTAAAGTAAACGTAAGAGCATAACCGTGTATACAGTTGGCTTTCCGCCATGACACTGAGGAATGGTGGATTCTGTTTGCTTAAAAGAAGGACTCATATTCTGTTCGCTCCTTCTAACTTTGACTCAAAGTTTTAAACATAAAGTATGCGTATGGAACCATCGCTCTATTCGGTGCCTACGCATTGATGCATCTTAAATGGCTGCCGATCACTCCTCAGAATTGAGATTAGTGAGTCAGTGATTTTTAGTTTTATGCCACTTTAAGCAATATTCAGATGTTTTTGTCATTAAAATGGACTCCGTCCTTGCGTGCGTGCGTCCGTCCGTCCGTCCGTCCGTCCGTGCACATTTGTCTTTTCCGGAGCAGAACTCTAAAACCGTTGAATATTTCTTCACCAAACTTGGCATATAGATAGATCTGGTGGTGTACTGGTGCCTTTTGGTAGTTTTGGAATTCTGAATAAAATATGTTTGGCGTTTCCGAGGCAACAAGTTTGACTTGGCCTGAAATTGTAGGCAGTGCTCTTTTCCGGAGCTGAACTCTAAAACTGTTCAAAATTTCTTCACCAAACTTGGCACATAGATTTGTCTGGTGGTGTACTGGTGCCTTTTGGTAGTTTTGGAATTCTGAATAAAACATTTTTGGCGCTTCCATGGCAACAAGTTCGACTTAGACTGAAATTAGTGGTAGTGCTCTTTTCCGGAGCTGAACTCTAAAACCGTTCACTATTTCTTCACCAAACTTGGCACATAGATAGATCTGGTGGTGTACTGGTGCCTTTTGGTAGTTATGGATTGCTGAATAAAATATTTTTGGCATTTCCATGGCAACAAGTTTGACATAGACTGAAATTGGTGATACTGCTCCTTTCAATACTCTCCTTCCACTTTTCTATATACACACCTAAATATTTGACATAATCATAACTCGTAGACATAATCATGAAGAGTATTTTGCCATTGCGGGGAGATATTGATGACTTTGTCTTCTTGTTCACTGTTACACTGCAGCAGAACATGGTCACAACTTATCAAAGATGATGAAACAGGGACAGGAAGACCCACTTTCCCCTTACATTTTCTTGTTGTAGCTGAGATTCTTGGTTGTATGATAAGAAACAATGAAAGCATTAAAGGTATTGTCATCAATGATAAGGAATATAAACTAGATCAATACGCTTATGATACTGAACTATTTTTTGATGGAACCGAGGAGAGTTTGTATGTTGCTATTGACACAATTAATGCATTTTATAAAATGTCAGGTTTGAAAATCAATTTAGATAAACCAAAAGCAATCTGGATTGCATCCAAAGCTAAATCTTCTGATAAGATGTGTAATGACCTCAAAATTGAATAGGGAACTGGTGAATTTGATGTACTAGGTATTAAATTTACACCAGATCTTGAAAATTTATGGGTAATCAACACCAGAAAGACACTGGAAGAAATTAATAGACTCTTAGCATCTTGGAGAAAAAGACATTTAACACTTATTGGTAAAATAACTGTAATGAAAGCCCTAGCAATTTCCAAAGTAGTTCATAACTTCAATTCTTTCCCCAACCTACCAGCAGAATGTATTACTTTTAAATTCATCTTTTAAATTCATTTGGAATGATAAAATAAAGAGGAGTGCAATAGAAAATAGATATGAAGGAAGATTGAGGATGATTGATATAAATAGATTTATTGAAACTTTAAACTTATCCACCTTAAGACTTTATTTTAAAAATTGTGAAAAGAAAATCCATGCAATATACCTTTCAAAGATATATTTAATCTTAAAGCAAATTCTGACAGGTTTATTGAGATTGAAAACCCTTTTTGGCATGATGTGCTGAAAGCATGGAAACTATTTCACAAACAACATTATGTCGATCCAAATGACATTAATGAAATTCTATCCTAACCACTATGGTTCAATCACAACTTCAAAAACTCATGAAGAATTGGGCAGAGAAAGGGTTTTTCGAATATTAGGGATATGTGTGATGAAACTAGATTACTATCAATAGAATCTTTAAAAGAAAATCATCATATCAAACGTACTATTTTAGATTTTCGGTATTACTGAACATATTACCTGAATCATATAAACATATTTTAAAGCACTGTCACGCTTTTTTATTTTTATCTTCATCCATTGATATTATCAAAAACATGATTTGGTTTGGTACTCCACATGAAAATAGAATACTAAATCACGTCATTATTGCGGCGAAGAGACATATTCACATATGCAGTATTAAAAATATGCTTCCAATTCTAACTTTATCTGTAAAAACTCTTAAAGAAATATTCTTTGTGGAAAGTCATATATCAACAAAAAAAATTAATAAAATACATAATTTCAATCACAAATGGAGCCTTCTCTGCCCAGTACTTAGATGACTCTAAACTGCATTAATTTGTACCTGACATTATCTATTTAGCATAGGTTGCGCCCCTGTGTCGGTGGAGGACGGGAGTCTGGTGGTTGAGGGCACTGGTTCCAGGAATAGTGTTCCTTTGCCCAACACAACACTTCGCTCCTTACTTCACCTAGACGGGTGCTAGAACTGGCCCGGTTCTATCAATCGGCTGGTCACGCCAAGGCATAGTAAATATTTTTTGCACACTTAACTAATTTTAAGGTCTTAGCCATTTCGATTTCTAATTTACAAATTATCGATGTATTTAATGCCTAGAGTCCTATGCCAGAAGGCGGTGGCTCATGGGCCAGTCTGGTAGGACTTATCTTTCGAAGATTTTTCCTGCTTGAGTATACCCTCCTAGTATCCTTGGTGTCGTCTGCTGGAGATCCACAGACATGAGGCATCGTGCTTGTAGACACTCCATGGTGGGTCGGGAGCTAGGAGGGGTGAATCATATATATTTCTATCATAGCACCCCCACTTAAAAAACGTTCCCACGAATCTGACGATTCGTTTTCTTCAGAGGATGAGGGTCTTGAAAGTCCTTGTCATGTGTGCACCTGATGGTGGACCTGTCAAGTTGAATCCGTTGGCTATCGCAAAAGGCATTGAAGATTTGGCTGGTACAGCAAAAGAAATAAAAACACTGCGATCTGGTTCTTTACCCATTGACTGTACAAAACAGGAACAGTCCCAGATTCTACTCAAAACCAAATCATTAGCGAATGTTCCTGTGGAGGTGTCCCCTCACAGGACATTAAATAGCAGCAAAGGCATCGTCCGTGATATTGGACGGTGCCTCTCTGATATGGATGAACTTGATATCATGACAGAACTACGCTCCCAAGGAGTTACTGGTGTCAAAACATTCACTGTCAAAAAGAATAAAGAGACCCTCAAAACAAAAACATATTTATTCACATTTTGTTTACCAGTGCATCCAGATTTGTTGAAGGGAGGTTATTGCAGCTTGAGGGTTGACACCTTTATTCCTAATCCTTTGAGATGCTATACCTGTCAAAGGTATGGACATGGATCCAAGTCTTGCCACAATCCAGCTGCTTGCCAGCAATGTGCTGGAACGTGTGCAGACTGCTGTCTCAGTGACAAACCTCCCGACTGCGTTAACTGTTCTGGCAGCCACCCTTCCCCATCTAATGCATGTCCTACATGGAAATTGCAATCAACAATTTCGAATGTGTAACATGAAATAAATATTTCATTCTTATAAGCAAAAAAGACTGTTCTTGCACAAGAACAGTCAGGTCCGACCTATGCCACCACTGTATCAGCTTCTATTCAGGCCTCCAAACCAAAACATGTTTCCTGTTCTTCGGTAGGTTGCCAGACGGATTACACGTGGGCTAGGACTTCTGCTCCTACCCTACTGTCTGCAGAGATTCAGTCCAAACCCTCGCAAGTCACCTCCTGTTCACAAACTTTGTCTTCATCCAAAAGTGTTATTCAATCTCAGGCATCTTCTGAGAAAGTTACATCTGCTTCTCAGAAACAAACATCTAAATCAGACACAAATGTGAAACTAAATGTGAAAAATAAATCAAAACCTAACAATGACACTTCCAAAAAGAATCTAAATAACAGAACCTCAAAGGGGTCGAACAATCAGGTCCAGCTATTTAACAAGTTTGGATCTCTTGAGGACATGGATGTGTCCAACCATAGCCATGGTGGGACACATAGCTTGTCACCCTCAAGGAAGGTGAGGGGTAGATCCCCTGTCCATCCTGCGAAGACATAATGTCCTCACAAATAATACAATGGAATTGTAGAGGATTTAGGAATAATTTAAATCATTTACACTTACTGATCCAAGATTTTCAACCGTGAGCTCTCTCCATACAATAAACTTATCTGAAACAGACAGATAATTTTGACCTACGTCAATTCAATGCTTATCATCATTTTTCTCCGGTGGGTGATAGAGCTACAGGTGGATCATCAATCCTGGTGAAGCAAAATCTTATCCATAGCCAAGTTACGCTCTCCAAGCCGTTCCAGTGCGACTTACGTTGCACGTTGCATTATTTTCTGCTTTTTATATATTCCGCCGTCATCAGTTGTTCAACTAAGCGATCTGCAAGCTCTTTATGATCAACTACCTAAACCCTGTATAATCATGGGTGATTTTAATGGCCACAACCCACTTTGGGGTGGCACTAATACAAATACCAAGGGTAAATTACTGGAGGATTTTATTTCAATCAACGATTTATTCGTCGTGGCGTGATGCTATCATTGTTCCCATCCCTAAATCTGGACTTGATCATACTGATCCTTCCAATTATAGACCAATTT